GCGCGAGCGCGAGCGCGAGCGCGCGCGCGCGTTACTCTCTCTCTCTTCTGAAAGTAATTAATATAAGAAACAGACTTGGAGATAACGCGAGCGGCAAACGAGCTGCAATTAAGGCGGGACGATGTGAATCAGATAACGGCCGTTGCGGTTTAGACGGTACTTTCGAAAAGCAAAGGGTCGGGATATCAACGCCGGTCGTTGTCGTCAGGTATTAATCCTTTAATCAAATCGCAGCGGTGAAATCGCACTGTTTACAATGGATGGTAATTCGCAACGGATATTTCCTAAACATCATTAACTTTGCAACGTCTCGTCGTTGCGTGAGAATCAATTAACCCCAACAGACCCGGGCGTGACCCCGGCCGTGTCGTAATCGAGACACTCGGAAAATTAGCGGGGTCTCGGAAAATGCTTCTCGGTCATTAGCGGAAGCGTCTCGCTACAGACGTTGCGAGACTACTCGAGGAGGTGAATCTCCTTTACGGAAATAGCGTCAAGACGAGGTTAGACAGAAATCTTCGAATCCAATTGAGATTGAGATTCTATCGTTTTACGTAGAATTAATTCTTATCCTACCATTTGCACTAAAACCCAAACGTAGAACTTGGAATTGCGTTGCAGTTCGTGATGATATTGACTCGGCCCCCCTCCAAGCTTTTTGGATTTAACCGTACACGCTCCGCAATTTTGCTAAGAGAATGAGAGAATGGAAATTTACTAATAGTTGTGTATAAAAACAAATTTCTTAGATTTAAGGTGACATTTCGCGTGATTGATTAATAATAACAAAACACTAAGGCAAACACGCAAAGCTGTCACGTTAATACACGAACATCTCTAATTGCAAAGCGCGCGAATACAATTTTGAGCGCGAAAGTTTCGATTTGAACGCGAAGATTTAATATTTTAAGCGCGGCTGCTCTATCAATTGTAGCAGTGTCTCTCGTGATATTTCCATCGAATTTAACCCCGTCTCTTCTCGCGTTTTCAAGCATCCACCCGCATTTCCGTGATGCTTCCCTCTTCTGCTTCGGGCGCTCTTCTATACCTCCACGCAATTACGCGAAAAGTTTCACGGCGAATATCTACCGGCAACTCCGCCGCACATAAGGATGCTTCAGCTGTTTTGCTATTCCGAGCTGTAAATAGAGGTCAAGGAGTTGTCCTGGGCCGCATCACGTTGCGTCTTCCGTCCTATGTTGGGGCTGGAGATTCTGACCTATAAATAGATGCGTTCTCGAGGTCGCGACGAAGGAAGCAACGGCGATGACGTGTGAGAAGAGAAAGAGAAAGAGAGAGAGAGAGAGAGAGAGAGAGAGAGAGAGAGAGAGAGAGAGAGTTGCTCCGGTAAAGGGATTCGAAATTCGTAGACAAACAGAACTATTCGTCTTTCTCCGGGCGGAACAATTTCCTTGGAATTTATCCGGGAGATACTCGGTTGTGCGGAGTTACACCGGCGTGTGGGAAAGTTACGATGCCTTCGGCGCGTGCGCGACCGCGGATAAAAGGAGGAATCCCGACGTCGTGTTATGCGGACGATGAGCGCTACGCTAATCTCCGGGATTTATACCGGGGGGAAGTCTCTTCGAAACAACTTTGCGCCGCCTGACATCGACACGAATTCGTCGATCTCCGCTTTGTCGTTTACCAACCTCAATGAATATGCGTGCATTTGATACGCGTTCGGATTAGACAAGCAGTTTAGACAAAGATATTAACTTGCTTGAGCAAAGACAACTTCTCACAGCGACGTTTTTTTAATACGAGCATTAAGATATGGTTTAAACTTCTGAGATATATTGTCAATAATTTGGAAAAAGAAAAAAAATGTTGAGTTTATTTTTAAGATTTAAAAAATGGAGAAAAATTATATAAGTCATACGTTTGTAAGATGTGTACAATTTCTTTAAAACAATTTTTATTTTTGTAAAAGCAATCTAATTATTACTTTTATGTTTGAAATACTTTTTAAAATATATGTAATTTAAATTGTAGATTTGATCATTGTGTCGAAATTTCTACATTAATATGATCTGTGATGACAGTGCCAATTCGTTTCGGAATTAATCTACCGAATGTACCATTTCGCCTTCATTGAATTTTGATTCCGAGAGAGAGAGAGAGAGAGGGAAATAGAGTACAGTCATTAAAACATTAAAATACTACTAGTACCTGGTACTCGAAATTCTGCGGCGAGCAAGCGCAGCAGCGCCCATTAATAATACTGTCGATAACACTAGGCGGTTTATTAAAGGGCATTATAAAATTCAAATCGGGCATCGCGAACAGGGTAAAAGGATAGTTCGTTGAACGAGTATCACGTGAAGAGAAAGAGAGAGAGAGAGAGAGAGAGAAGAAATCGCAAAAGCATTTCAAAGTGAACTTGCTGTCAGCGTCGAAAACGGAAAGACGAGGGTCTGAAATTACGAACATACAACCGATAGATATTCCCCAGAGAGAGACAGTAGGGACAGAATAAAATGAAATATCGTGATTTATCGTCTAACGTACGCGCCAGCCAATTTGTCCCGCTTCCACGTGCGAACTGTCTCGTGTCGTGAGAGCCTGTCCCGCAGGACACAGACGAAAACACGGATTGCATTTCATAGAGTGGTCTCGATGGCCCGTGTGATGGCCCGCGCGCGCGCCGAAATTACAAAATTTGTTCGGGTAACACACACGTGACTGCGGCTGACATCCGTATACCGAAGATACGCCAATAATTGTCCGCAAAATGAAACGACAATTATCACGACCATTAAACAAGACCCTATTGATCTCGCGTAAATGTCACAGAAATTCCGAATTACATTGTTGATACACAAAATTACGGCGAGTTATGTTTAATGCAGTCGTAACATTTAACAAAAATAAAATAAATATCTTGTTTTTGTGAAAGAAAGCACACAAGAACGTTAGCTTATACGCGCACGTGTGTATGTATATATGTAATTTGTTGAAATGAGCGACCATATAAAACTTGAAGTGTAAAGATTCATGTAAAAATGAAGATACGTCGGTGCGCCTCGTCAATTTCTCTTGCACGAGGTGGGAAGGAGAGAGGGATACAGTGAGAGTCATCATCACGGTAGACAAGAAATTGAGGGCGAAGATGCTGCTGCGCTGCAGCTTGTAGCGCGCTATTCGCAATTAGGACAAAGACTTCAGGCTACTCATTAACTATGGCATGAAGCGGCAAGCGCAGGAGGCCGCATCAAGCGCGTTCAAGTCGAAGAGCGTAACAAGCTGGCATCCTGTGTGCAGCACAGCATCCACCAGTTCCTCGTCATCCGCGACTGCCGCGCTCCTCCTTTTATTTTGCCGGAGTGTCGCCGGCAAATCTTATTTAAGGCAGATTTATCGCCGCCCGACTCTGAGATCGAGCTAGGATATTACGCCGGACCCGGATGCGCCATTCACAATGCGACTTCTCGACTCAAAAAGTGTCATAACTCAAAACCTGAGCGCCTCTTCGGGTACTTCCGCCGTTCCAGCACATCGTGTGCCAGAATCCGTCCTCTTGTCGTCTCTGTCCCCTTTCTCGTTCCTCCCCCTCCCTCCCCCTCCTCCTCTCTGTCGCTTTCCACCCTTCCGTTTCACACTGCCCCCCTCGTCTTGCCCCTCCTCCCCCGCCCGGTAGTACGAGAGAACGAATGGAGTCTTCTATTTTTTCGTTAATATGCGCACGAACCACTCGGTAGTATCAAACGGTTCTGCACATTTTTTCGCTATATTGCTGTTTCATCCGCTGATATTTTTCCAGCGAAAATTCGAGGAAATTCGTTAAAATCGTCCGATCCGCTGGCTAGATAGTAGGTTCGATTTACGGAATGTGTTACGTTTATCGTGTTACACAAGGGACACGGGATCGCAACCGGATGGTTTTTTTCGTAATCGATACATAGTGGTGGAAAATTAGTAGTGGATGTGTTTTGTCGAAGCGAAACACAAAAACGCTCCTCCGATCATCCGATTTCGATCCGAAAGTGATCGTATGGCCGTTGGCGATTTCTTTCTCCCAGAACGTAACTGTATACTGCTGACCATCATCTAACGTCGATTCGATTTCTCGGTATGTCTGAGCGGGAACTTGCATAAGGGAGGACGCATTAAGAGAAATGGACCGTAAAAGATGATGTTTTTTCGATGCGCTAAAAGAAAATCCCACGGCATCTCGCGATCGGCGTCGTCGTCGCGCGTGACGGCACTCGATGACGGCGTCGATCCGCGATCATTCTCTGATCGATAAGCGCGTGTCGCAGACCGAAAAGAAAACGAGCGTTGTTCGTCGGTTCAATTTTTTCGTACTCTCTTTCGCAACGAGCTGGCTCCATTAGTACGGGATTGGCTGACGCGCGCTTGAGCGAGCACCGCGGCGCTTTTTGCGCCGGCCAGAAACCGGTTGAATAATTGTGTTTTGCAACGGCCACGGGAGCGCTTAAGCCCGGGGACTCTCGGGCATGGATCCAAAGAAGAATTAAGCAAAGGGGAAACTCCTGAAAAGCGGACTTATAAAAGGGACAATAGCACCGGGCGAATCGCGCAGTTTTTCGAACGATCGCGGGTCACAAAGATCGATCGATTAAAAGTTCGTTCGCGTTTGCTCAAACCACAATTTACGACACCAATTAGCGTCATGATCTTTAATGTGAGTGCCCCATACCACATGTATGATTATTATGTCTCTAATGTTTTTTTTTTTTTGTAAATAATAATATTTATATCAAATTCGCGTGTTGGCACATCATGTGTATCGCCGTCGTGTGTATTCAAACTTTCGGATTTTTTTTTTTATATCACCGCGTTTCATTCACACGAGAATTTGATTAACGAGATTCACACAACACATTTCCTTGGCAGTTTGTGCTGGTATCGGTAGTGCTGATACTTTCGTCCTTACTATTGACGAATGCCAACCCGGAGGGACACGCGCATTCTTTTCAGCATTTTCATGGACCAGTGATGGGCAACGAGCACGAAGTCACTTGGAACGACGACCACGGACACCATCACGCTGACTACGTGGCTCATCCCCATTATGCCTTTTCGTACGGGGTTGAAGACCATCATACGGGCGATTATCACGGTCAAAAGGAGTATAGAGATGGTGAGTCTGCGTAGTTTGAATGAGAATTAATCTCTTCCACTTTTTAGAAAGATCCTTCTTGTCGTTTTGTACATAGTGCAAGCGACAAGAATAAGAATAGCCTACTTACGCGGAATCACAATGTTCTTCTCTCTTCGTAGTACCTCGAGGGTGAAAAAGCTGACAAATGTATCGAGGTGAACGTAGGGCAGACTGATTGTGCGAATAAAAGTGGCAACGTGACCTTTGCTTGAGCTATTTTATAATGTTGCTCGTGGAATACTCAATGGAAAACTCGTGGCGCAGCAAATTCTTTAGCTTGAATCGCCTGTATGTTTTATCACACAATCAGCACTGTTACATAAATAATTTGACAAACGTAAAAAATAAAAAAAACACAAATTTTAGAGATTACAAAAAATATTTTTGATAGAGCAATATTTTAATACTAACATTTTGTAAAAGTAATTCGAAATGTTGCATTATAAGATAAAATAGAAAAACTTCTTTCATGATGCCAAAACAGAAAGACAGAGTGAGAGAGAGAGAGAGAGAGAGAGAAAGAGAGAGAGAGAGAGATTTCATTTTCAGAGGTCCGGTTTTTTTCGTAATTTCGTAATGGTATTTCTACAAAGCGCGACTTTTTCTATGTAAAACGAGATCATCGAACGTCGTCAAGTTTTAACTGGAGCGAGAGATTTCGTAGCAACGAGCCGAGAGAAAAGTTAGGAACGATAAAAGTGCTGCTAAAAAAACGTACGCTTCAGTATTCCCGCCTTCAAAGGACGCGCACAGGCTGAAAAGTTTATAACCATATAAAGCTCAGATAGCGACTATTGATAGGAAGGCTTCTGAGAAACTGCGAGCGCAGTAATCTCGCGCGCGCGCACACACACACACACACACACACATGTATCAGCTAACACGCGAGAGTAATTGAAATAACGGATAATTCCCTCAAATTTCCGTAACGTTGTTTTTAAGTTAAGATCGAGATTTTATCGCGTATCACAATAAAACACGTGCAACTTTTTATGTACGTGCTAACGAAAGATTTATATTCTCTTAAGAAACCAAGAGTGAGAGACACTTGATGCAAAAGATGAAGTAGATGATATATGTAAAAAGTCGCGATTTATTATTATATCTGTGGTCGCAAGGAAAAACGCCGCATGTTCTTGGCGCATATCATCACTTTCGAGATATTGATGTTTAAAGTTTTAAACATGCAAATCAAGTATTGGACTTAAGTTGTTTTGCATAATTTTTTTTTTATCATCATTTAAGATGTGTTTTCTTGCATTTTTTTTCTTTATAGATATGTAAATCTTATTTTTGCAACTCAACTGTGGCAAAAACTTGAATTTTTGCAATTGTGACATGCGGCGCTTTTTCTTGCGACCACAGATACGTACTGAACGAATTAATTTTAAGTAATTATACTATCTTTTTAATACTTAGTATATGAGAGTTAATTTTCTATATATTTAAATACAATTTGGATCGAATGTATTTTGTGTTGTGTTAAACTAAAAGAGCCTAAATAAAATATACGTGATTTTTTGAATGGGATATAAATAAAGGATCACTTTCAGAATGGAGTTTTGCAAAAATAAAAAAAAGTACAAAATAAAAAGAAAAAGTATTTTGTATTCTGTCGCACTCGTCTAAAGATCTCAATTTGTCTCCATAAAAAAGAATGATAACGCGTGTCCAAATGTGCCAGCTTGGGCGGCACAAGACAAATAACTCGCACGTTGACGTTTTGCAGGCACAGAAGTGTTCGGTGAATATACCGTGAAGGAACCAGACGGCAATATCAGAATAGTGAAGTATCGCGCTGGCAAGGACGGATTTCACGCCGAGGTGCACAATAGCCGTCGAAACGATCATCAGGAGAACGCTCATCATCATCACGATTATCATTAGTCTACGCGGCTGGACATCACGTTTTGCCAAAGACTTCGTTATTTTACATCTTATTGTCATTGATGTTGTTGTATTTGTTAAAAAAAAAAAAAAGAAAAAAAGAAAAAGAAACAGTTGTGTCGTCACATCTTGTCATTTATTTATTTTTTTTTCCGCAAAGTCGTTTATCTGGTATTTTACAACTAGTTTTAAAGTTTATTATCGTGAAAAGCCACTCAATATTGCGAAATGGATTTTAAAGCTGTTGCGAAAGCTCAAGCAAGTTGGTCAATCGAAATGAGTATTTCTTCTGAGAAACTTCTCAGTCTCGATTAATATAATTGAATTGCCGACATTGAATTGTTATTAGTCCCGTTTCCGACGAACACATTTTTAGAGTTTAGGAAAGAGTGGAAATAATATTTTTGCGTCTTCTACTTTTGTTATACACTTTCAACATTTTTTCGATAATAAAAAAAAAAAATACAAAAACATATATTAAATTTCTGTCGATTACACAAACCTCTGTCAAAATCCGTTTCGACTTATTGCTCCTACAAAAGCGGAACGGAAACAGACTACACTTCGAGGTGCATTTATGTTTGCTGCTCTCAGTCTTTCATACATATATAATTCGAATGGCACTAGCAAATGATTGCCGCGTGCCGCAGTGAGAGGCAATTCGCGACAGGCATTCGGTAAATAGACGTAATATTCGAAATTTCAATTTGTTACATATAGGCCGGATATTGTTTGCTCCAAATTACATCCCGTCGTTCCACCGCGAGAAGTCGGGGGGATCCCAGAAATTCGTATCTACAATTGAAAACCGATATCGCGGAACCGAATGTCATTGGAATTTCAGACGACACGACGTTTTTCAGCACCGGCGACGATTGTCAATTAACAAGTCTAATTGGATCGCGCCGCGCGAACGTTTTCCAGCCGGCGTTCTCAAAAACTAACTTCTATTCTACTCAAAAGTGTGCGCAGAATCATATCTTACAAAATAGTACGTACGATATGATATGTATTCGCAATAACGCGATGTCTTTCCTATAAACATATATAAAACGCGTGTAGAGTTCACGAAACATGTCTTCCCGGAATACAATAAAGATCCGCACACATGTCGATATTCCATTCTGGACGTGTCTATATGTAATTTACATTCGACACACGGTCGAACGATAAATCAGCGCTGGGAGGGCGACTGGGAAGAGTCGTGTGGTAAACACCTGATAACACACTTTTCGTATAACACAAGCAATATCATAGAAAATGGCAACACTTGCCGTACGGGGGAGTATATTCCGTTAATTAACGAGTATATATATCCCGTTAAACATCATAAATCGAATTCCGGTTTAGTGAATGAAACAAGCTTAAATTGCATGTCGATACAACAGTCTGCATCCGCCATGCACACGCCATCGTGCACTAATTTCGTTTCTGAAAAACGTGTGTGGCGTAACACGCTATTTTCATCTATCATTAACCTTTTACGCTTCGCCGATCATCGGATAATAAAGGCGTGACAGTTTTTTGTGATAAATTAAAACGAGGATGTTCAACTTTAAACTCGCGGAAAAATATACTGTTGTTTAATTTAAATTTAATCGAGAACCATCGCAAAACAATGTGTACATTTGCTTGTGTTTGCTGTTGGTAGATTTTGTTATTTGTAAACTTCAACACATAATGTGTGTGTGTGTAAATATAAAAACTTTGTTTGTCGCGAAAAAAAAATATACCTTTCTGCCTCTTTAGAAAGTTGAATTTATATTCACGATTATATTGGTGCATACATCATTATTTATAAGTGTGTCTTCATTTGATTGTTGAATTGCGAAAATTCAAAAGTTTGCGTTTGAAGCGTCACGACTATTTTTTACGAAGTAACTTCTTTTATGCTTTTTATGATTTTTCTCCCGGAGTTTTTGTACAAGACATGCAAATTAAAAACATTGCTGTTATTGTAAAAAAAAACAAAACAGAACACACATATAACGAAAACGGCATTTTATCGGAGAAAAGTTTAAAGACTGGCTTTGGCTCTGTTAATGTATAAAACAAAATATTCAAAGCTCGTTTTAATATGTGAGATAAAACTGGCATAAAATATCGTGAATTATTTTCGAGCAGTAGCGCGAAGATGATGTATAATAAACATATGCCTGATAAATAAATAAACATTTTCGGAAAACAATTAACAATTTAAAACCAAAACTTCCTACGTGCTATTATTTTCATTACTTATTAATTACTTTGAATATTATTTGTTTAAAAAACGTTATCGATTAGATCTTACACAGTTTTACAGCTGGGTAAAAAAATTTTCTCCGATAACAAAATTTTGTCTCATCGCCGCTTTTATCTTTTCGCGTTGTAGCCTATATATAACCGAATCTTTAATACACGTCCATTCAACGATTGGCACTTATTAGTTTTTCCTATTTTTGTTAACATTTTTGTCTACGGCTCTACTTTTTTTATCTAACATTATAATAAATTATTGTAAACATTATAGAGTAGGATTTTTTATGGCAACGTTATTTTAGACTTTTTTAGTTTGCACGCTTGAAAACAATTGATAGGTCTTTAAAATGTCAAGTATTGGATTTAAAGTGCCAATCACCGAGTGTTTTATCTTACATTCAATGCGGTTTTTTGTTTTGCACACAATGTATAACACACACAATGATCTCGTGCAGAACAGAAAAATGCGTGAGTAAAACAAAAGACCGTTTCGTTGTAAAGTGACAAATGCGACAAATAGTTTTAAAGCGATAGATTTTATTGGTGCATAATTCGTACTTAGTAATGACTCACAAAGAAACGTTAAAAACACAACAGATTGTTATGACAATATTCGCTATTAAAACCAACAAACAATTAAATCCGATTTCGGAAACGAGAGACGCTCTTGCGTCAGTTATTTGCAAAATATTCAATCATCCGTCGAATTGGTTTCGTGGAAAAGAAACCTTGCTTGTGACTTCGACGTTTTGACGGAAAACAAATAAGGTGTCGCCGACTTACATAAGGTGCCCCGGATAACGTTCTTCACCAATTGGCTGTGAAATTATCGGTTGCGCTAAGATGCGTCTCCGGTATGTGTCACAAATTGACATCTTTTTCCAGACGGATCGCAATCGCGCTACGTAAGGAACGCGTAACGCAAAAAGTTGCAAACTCTTCTCGAATGATATAATCGCAAATTGCGTTAGAAAACAAAATTTCCGTGCAAACGGGAAAGTTCCGGCGCGCCGAAACTTCTGCACAACCACGTTCTTCGTGTCCTTTTTCGCTTCGAGCCTGACCGATTGCGGAAGATAAATCTTTGTTTAAAGTTTTCGGTGCGCTGCGCTTCGAGAAAACGTTGCGCGCAAAGTATTCAGGTATTTCAAATGTTATTCTAACCGGCTTTTGCATTGTCGGAAGAAAAAACTCTCGTGGTTTACGTTCTCTCTTTTGGATCTATTATCCAACGATGGCATTCTCGCAGCAAATGCCATGAAAAAATTTCTTATAAAAGCGAGCATCAAGCGAAATCCTTTGATATTTAATTCACGTCAAACGGCTCCTGTTATTCCATAAATCCTTTCCCGAGTTTGCGTAAAATACGTTTATTTTCGGCTATAACTTATTCTTTATTTCTCTTTTGAACGTTATTTACGGTACGTTTTGGAACATTAATGCGCGGGGACGAGCATTTTACTCCGATGTGATTAGTCGCTTCGCGATGACGTTTACGCAAAGAAAATACAGTACGAGAACAGGAAGAAACTCCACTTTCGAAAATTACTCGTGGATTGCAAGAATTGTTTGTTCGAAATTGTTTACGCACCGGACTGGTACATGTGTACGCGCACACAGGCGCTCCGCTTCTTTTTGACGATCAATCACGCCGGGTCGCGTAAATATACACGCGTAAACATCGTTGTACGAAACTCGTCGAAATGTATACTTATAAATCTGCCGTGTTCGCGCAGTTGCGAGTGCGTAGCTTTTAAAAACAATCATTTGAATTTCATTTTCGCTTTCGGAAGTTTACGCGCGAAGTGAAATTCCGATCATTAATTTTGACGCGATGATCCGCACATTTGTGGATTACACGAGTTTGTTTTGTTTGTTTGTTTGTTTGTCTCGAAATTGTCCGAACGATTACGGCTTCAATAAAGAGAACAACGAAGGTTCAGGTGTTACGCAGAATACTTTCATCGTTCCTCATAAGAAACTTCTCGACGATCGTTTATCCCTTCAGTCTCTCTCGAAACTCCGTATCGGGGGTCGCCTGGGCAAAATACGGATCCGAAAGAAAAGTACACGGACTACGCGAACTAATGGTGGGATCCGACTTGACTCGGGAAGATTAAACGAAGACCGAAAGAGAGTCGAAAGTAGAACGAGAGTGGGAGCCCGTCCGCAAAGTGAAACAAATCGCCGCGAAGAAGGCCAGGCGTGCCAACATAGACGTTGATTTTTCCTCTAATGCTACCATAAAAGGGACACTGCCCTCACCAATTTTTTTTTGGCTCGATCCTCCTGCTTCCTGTCTTGTTTTTTTTCTCAAAAACAATTCTTGTTGACTTGAAGACTTTATGGATAAATATAACAATCGAAATAATTGCAATTTTCTTCGCGATTTCAGTAATTTGTTCCTTCGCTGTTAACTTGCATTAAAGATTCTTTCTTTCAATTTTTTTTTTTTTTTATTTGCATCTTCTTTATCCTGCAAATACATTTTTAAAATTTTATTTGTTTTCAAATGTTTATCGCGTCGCACAAATTAATCATAATTTGGCATTCCATTATGCAGTCTTTATTTTCGTACGCGCTCGCGATTTGCCAGTCTCGTAAAACTCCTAATTACAGAATACTTTGTCTTATGTTTACCTGGCAGCTGGCCTGGCCCGAACCTTTCCTTCTCAGAAAGCAATTAAAAGTTTTCGGCGTTTTAATGTTTGTTAAAACGAATGAAAACTGTACACATTAAATTAAAGTTCGTAAACTGGCTAGCAGGAACTGGCCGTATTTTAAGTTACATCCTGCGCGCTTTTTAAATCGCAAAAAATAATAAACCACTCGCCGTTTAATAATTACCGGCGCTAAATGACGTGAAAAATTAAGTCAAATGGTTACAGAACATTTGTAAAACCGACGAGATTATTGTATTTTTCAGGAAAATATCACAAACAATGCGACAAATATTAATAATAATGTAGTAGAACAAAGTTTTATCAATATTAGACTGGAATTTTCTGTTTATCATAACAAGTTGTATAAACGGCGTAAACAAACAGCGATCTAAAAAAACATCTATTATCAAACTTAAAAATGTAGTAATAAACTAAAAAAAAAACTTATAAAGATATAAATATTTTCAATCATAAATAACTTCAATAATAAGTTTGCGCAACTACGAGCTTGCTGATGGTTGAAAATACGTACACATATTTACATCTCCACAAGATTTTTAGTTCGGCATTAGATACACGTGTAAAACTCGGCGCTTCAAATAAACATTTAAAACGCATCGATGTATAAAACCGACAATTAAAATTATTTACGTCTGACGACGCCGGTTTTTTGCGCGAAATTTACATTTTATCGTTTTTGTTTGCTGTATATATTCTCCGCATGCTGAACGCGTCGTGCTGATAAACTCCGCTAGGATTTACCAAAAAATTCGTCTTTTACTTTCCATTATCTCTTACTTTTTATCTCGGAATGAATAAAATTCGATATTGTATTCTTGGAAAAATATTTCACTTTTGAATTTTATTGGAAAACAAGAAAAAAAACATTGGTACTTAAAAATACGACGCGGTAGTCTGTCGCGCGAATGAGACACTTTATGTGGGAATATAACTTCGTCAAGTCTTAATAATCTTCACGAAATTTGACACAAACGCTTCAGCGCGTTACATCCATCTTGCAGCATGACAGCTTCCGTTTAAAGCAGACGTTCCGGTGCATTAAAAGATTCTGTACGACAGTGACGACGATTATTCGATGGATGGCGGAACCGGAAGTCGAAGATCTTAATCTGCCTTTAATATCCTGCGTCTGAGAGGATCGCCAAGCCCCCGCGATCGTCCGTGTTCGATTCGCAGGCCAATGGAAAACTGGGCGTCCTCTCGACCGCACTCTCGAATGAACCGTCGCTCATTTTCTCACGGAGATAGTCGAAGAGAGAAAAGTCGGCGTGGAGAGACACACTGAAGATCTTCTAGCGGAGGAGAATCTGGTCGAGCGGAAACGAAATGTCGACGAAGTGGAATGTGCTGAGAATTAACGAATTTCTATAAATTTTCTGATTGCATCGCGTCGACAAAAAAAAAAATTAATCGCTCTCTCGCAGCTAAAAGAATTACTAGTTTTTTTTATTGATGAGAAAAAAGAACACACTGTGTTCAGAATTTTGTAAGATATAAGATGTGACGTAATTTCAAAAAATTTTTCTTAGAGCACGCTGGAAGATAATCTCACTCTAAGTATACTGCTCTCTTTTCTTGAACAATAGTATCATGAAACCTGACGTTTTGTTACTTTTCGGCGTTAAGATCTCGCAACGTTACGGAAGCAGACTTCTCGATTTGTCCTCGTCGTGCGAGCTTTTGCTCTCGTCGGGAGCGCAGCTGAAATTTGTCCCGTCTCTTATTCGCCTTATTTTATCTGCGGGATGACTCTTGAACGTGAAATAAAAGACCAACTTAAAAAATAACGTAACGCGAGAAATCTATTTGAATATAAGAAAATTATAGCTGTTGTTTTATTTCTTTTGACATTTGAACCGTTAGCGCGCCGACGAAGAATATAAGCGATAAAAATTCATTGAGCTTGGAAATAACGTTATAATTCGATTCGTACGTATTCGTTCGAGAGACAATTTTATCGTGCAAATTTTATCGTGCAATTTTTTTTTTTTTTTTTTTTTTTAGTCGAACAAACATCAAATAAAAAGTAATAATCTGATGGAAATTATTTATTCTTCCCGTGTACACGGTTCAAAAGAATTTTGTTTTTTGCATCATTACGAGCACACGCGAACAAAGTGCATCGGAACGGATATCGCGCGTGAATCTGCGATATTGTGTGTAATACATAATACAAAGTCGCGTGGGCAATGTATATAGGATACTGTGCATTAAGCGAAGATCTGAACAGCTTCAAAAACACGGACTTAGAATTTTAAAGCCACTTTCCGGATAGATTTTAATTCCTAAAGCGCCTTAAACTGTCCCGGAGGCTATTTAAACTTGCAAATCCGTTCATTTGAGTTAGGATCGTGATAGTGCTTGCTTCCCTTTAAAAATGCTCTTCCATTTGGAATACGGGCGCAACGGCAGAGTATTGCATTCCGTTCGGCGCCGCGATTAAAGCAATTATTGATTTCGCATTCGTGTCGGCCGGCACGAATTATTCGAAATATTAGCGAATTATTCGAGAAATTTGCCGCATTGATTACACGCGGTTGCAATTGAAATGTGACTGACGCAGTAAAGTCGTAACGTTCGTTTGTAAAGCGGACTGATCAATTTATTACATCGCGCCGTTGTTATTAACATTGACAAAAAAAGTTATTTCGGACTATTGTTTATTTATTGTTTATTTATTAACAAACAATTAAAGCCGAAACGGTTTTGTTTTTTTTTTTTTTTTTTTTTATTTTTTTTTTTCATTGTTTTCTTTTTTTTTTTATTTTTTTTTTTTTTTTGTTACGCAACACAGCAGAAAACGCAAGTATTGTAGGATAGAAACTCGATAGTAAATTCTGTTGTTTGAAATCTCTGCAAGCTATAATGCGCGCTATACACGCCTCTAATTCTGACATATTCGATTGTACATTTCGCATATTGTGCACTTCACGCAAGAACGTTTTCAATGAAACGCGTGACTGCGTTTCGAATTGCAGCTTCGATCCCCGCATTGGTCGGTCTCTCCGCGATATCGGACACAATAAAAATCGCATAGGCATATCGCGTCCGTATCCGGAACACGGTACGGTTTTTTAACGATCGAAAGAGGCCGTAGTCCAGTCGTCAAATGATCGCGAAAAAAAAAAAATAATAAAAATAGAAAGAAACATAAAAGAGAACGGAAAGAGCGGCCGGTTGGAAAAGCCGGTGGAAACAAGAATCCGGGTGTGCATCTCTACCTGCCGTTTTTGTTTCCGGCACGGGGATTCCTTTTTTTTTTTTTTCTTTTCTTTTTATTCTCGATACTGCGCGCGATTGTGATGCGCTCAAAGGAAGAAACGGAAATTTGAAGCGCTCAATGAATGTCAGCACTTTGACATTCAAGAGCTTGGCTGTCTTGTTTCGCACATCACCTGCAATTTAACGTCGAGCCATTGCCTTGTTACCGCGTCTGTCTTGTCGCTTCTGGAATAATCAACGAATTAATCCATTTGACGCTTTTTCTCTCGACGGTTTCTTCAGAATTTCGTCCACTTCCACACGCAGGGAATTCGTCGTTTCAAAAACAAAAAAAAAACAGACAAAGTAATTTTTTTATTTCGATATTAAATCCTTTTCAAAAACAAAAAGTGCTGTTTCTCCATTTTTCCTTGATTTTCTGAATTAAATCAAAACAAACGTACATGATATCTTTATCTTAAAAAATATACATATCTCTATGCTTATCTCTTTTTCTGTCTTTCTCTCTTTACGATCCTATTTCAGAACAATGGCGCACCGATCTTTCTACAAAATAATAATACCTTCCAGCGAGATATCTCGCGGGAAGAAAGAAAAAAAAAAACAAAAAAAAAAAAAAAATAATAAAATAAAAGAAAAGAAAATTCTAGTGCTCGGATCTCCGTAAATCTTAATTTAATTTTCACCTGTGCAAATGCCTTCCGGCGGCACGCGATCCATAGGGAAATAGTTCTCCTGGTATATATATTGTCTTTATTTTCCTTTTCTCGTAAACCAATAACTTATATGTGAACGCACGTTGCTTCTCGGTTTCTTTCCCATTGTATTGCCTGTATAAAATACGTAATGCTATATTTCATGTGGTATAGTATAAAAATTGCTGCAAAGAAGTCGAAAAAAAAACGTCATCACAATTCTAATAAATAAATACGTATGCCTAGAACAAATACGTATGTGTGTGCTTAGAAACAAATTCAATAAATCGTAATGTGATAAAACAAAATCTTAATTTGTTTTCTCTCTTTACAATTTTCTACCTACCTTTCTCTATTTCATATGTGCTCTTACTCAGCTGTTTTCTTTAAACGGAGAAATTGTTTACTAGTCACAGTCATATTTTATGTTAAAACACTTGCTCCGCGCGTGAGTGTGCTCACACGCTACATCCCACATAACATCCCTTAATACGATCAACCGCGCACGATACCTTGAAGAACACACCGTTAGGCGCGGTTACACCGACAATCTCGGTCAGCAAGGTTCCAGTTACCGAATTATTGTCCCTTTCTGGGTATAGTGCTTTCTGTAACATGAATATATGGAGGAAAGAAAATTTAGTTGAACTAGGTTAACTCTAAACCATGTGTCAGTAACGTCGTCTCTTAGCGGTGCGGCGAGGATGCGGGACATGCAGTACACATATAACGTTGCATTGATTACAAAAGCTAAAGAGGCTTGCGCTATGTCGATAGCGAATCGATATTCAGCGGATAATCGTCGTTTGAATGAGCACCGATTAAAACCTAATCTGATATATTGCATCTGCGAAAAACTCGAACGGTGTGTGTGAAATCAACAATTTAAGATAAGTATACAACAAAGTACAACAAGATACTTTTAGATATAACATTTTATATAAAATTAAATATGAAATTTAAAATAAATTGCATAATATCTATATACATATATAAAAAAGAGATTTAAGAAAAAAGAAAAAGATCTATATAAAACTGCATCCCTAAAAACTATCTGCTTTTTCTACGATTTTCGTTCAAATTGCGAGGAAACCTGTTTTCCTAGGTAAAATTAGCGCGCTCGCGCTCTTATTATTTGCCTGATGCGAGAACCGTGTACGTAATTTTTCTTTCACCGAATTCACGACCTTCGCATCTATAACGTCTCGGAAATTGGGAGTGCCCCGTTTCCAGGGATTCGAGAAAAGTATTTTTCGGCTCTCTATTTTTATCGATAATCGAAAATTTTCAAGTTATCTCTAAAAAGCCGTCAACTTTTACGAGAAAAAAGACAATAACTAAAATTTATTATAAGTATATCGGAAATCAATAATAGAAGGTTTATAAATTTCTTTTTCTCGATCGAAAGCTTTATAATCTCTATAATTAATTACATCAGTTAATATTAATTTGAAAAATCAACAATAAAATAAAGATAGAATTAAAGAATTTATCACGCAACACAACAACTACGGTATTGCGTTTGAAGAAAACTTGTTAGTTTCAGGCTCTCGAAAATGTAAACCCACTACTGTATTTTGCGCGTGTGCTTGAGCCGCGCACAGTTGCTCTGCGTGTTCAACGCGGTAGATAAGATAAAGCTTACGGGATTGTAATACAAGCGATAAAGGCCGACGAACAATGACAATCCGTCAATCGCGCGGGTTATCGCCGCCATGACCCAGCTATACTAGTATAGATAATGCTCACGCAGGTAAAAACGCGTCATACTCGTCCGTCATTTGCAGCGTTGACAAGGAAAATGTTTCCGCGGTGTCTGCTGTTGTTGCAGCTGCTCTCCTGTACCCTTTATTGCCAATGCTACGGGCAAGCGACTGTGAGTATGCGCGTGTTCGTTAAACTCTGACGTTCTCCACATAACTGTAAAATTAGGTTACGTGCGTACGTGTGTATACGTATAACGTTATGCATGATAATCACAACATTAAATCCGACACATACGAATATTTGTATATACATATCTATTTTTGTATTTGGTAGCAGCAACTATTTTATTCTATATATATAGAAAACACACGTGTATTCTCTCGGTAATCGTAAAACACTTGCGTTGTGTTGAAAAATTTCTCAGTGCGCGATAGTTCATCGCGCCACTTAAATGAAATTCATTTAGAACCGACTGAATTTTAATTAATTGCCAGACGGTATCAAGTGAGACTAACAATTTCCGAAACGTATTCGCAATTGGAACTTGAAGTTATTTCGCCTAAGATCTTCGGCGCCGAGTGTGTTTAAGATAGAAGTTCTCACGTACTCATTGAGAACTGCATAAGTCTCTCTCGCGCCGGATCGTAAAGTTCAGCGGCAGGCGTGGCGCAAAGTCGCGGTGCGGTAAGTGCGCGACGTTTGTGTGTCGCGCGATTAACCCGCTCATGTGGCCCCGATATTACATTTTCGGGTCAAATAATGATAACGAGCCAAAAGTTAAACAATAAGCCGTTTCCTCCGGAAGGGCGACGTTGTCGGCAAAAGTTTTAATGAGGATCGAAAAACAAGTCGACGGTGCCACTCGATTCCCTGTCTGACACGGGAGCACAACCCCCGACCTCTCTGCCAACTCAACTTAACGCGAATTTTAAGCGCCGGCAATTAGTTACACTAAAGCACGTAAATTAGTGTACATGTGCATTTTTTGCCAATTTGCGTAAATTATTTTGTTTTCTATCTGTGAGCGTAAAAATGTCTTTTTATCCGAGACAGAGATCGTGAATATTTATTTGCTGCGTGCAAAGAATTTTGTTTTGTTAACTTGATTGTGATTTTTTTTTAAAGTTTTTTACATTTTATTCGACGCCAATCCTATCGATTTTCTCACTCTTTAGCTTCTATATCTTTCACAATAACACATCCACATTATACATATATATATATATATAACAAAATAAACATTTTGTGATAACTTGCAGTTAATATTCGCTAAAAAAAAAAAAATGCAAAGTCCCGTTATATATTCCGATAACACAGTGATCAAAAATATACCAGTGTTTATCGAACTGTGAGCTGTGATACCTGTCATATCTCGGCAAAATGTAATGCGTACGGGAAACACGACTCGAGAGTGTAAGCGCACTGATAAAATATGATCCATTTTATCTCCAGCAAATAATACTACCGGTCTTTTTTTTTGCCAATAAATAGATGAGTATAATAATAATAATCGCGTCGAATCAAATCTGTAAAAACAAACACCTTGTTATTTCAAGATAGATTTTTTTGTGCGCGAATTCAAATCGTGTTACATCCGCATTGCCGTCGTTTTTTTTTCCCGTACATAACGTGTACTGTAGATTCCGTAATTAAAGATATCAAAATATTAATCTTCTCTCATCAGAGAAGGAGCGCGGAGTGCAGCGCAATTTGCTTTGAGACGAGAGCTATGTATATCCGTAAGGCAAAAAATGCATTTAATTTCGTATTACAAACCTTTGATTCTTGATTACGATATCGCGGTTTCACTCGGACGAGAGAAGTCGAGTTGGTATAATGGAATGCTTTGCATCCTCATCTCTCATCTCGTTTGTAATACTTACGAGGCTCTTCATCCCTTCTTTTTCTCCTCCTCTACCATCCTCTTTTCCTCGTAACTTGAAAGCTCGGACGACAAGCGACCGTTTAAATACTCTCGGCGGGAAGATTTAACTTTCTTCTCTTTAATTAATTCCCTGCCGCTTTCTCGAAATGGTAACCGACTCCATCTGGAAAAGAAATCCGTGATTTATTATTAAAAAAAAAATATATCTGTTTTCGCCACGTAATGATGTTTCGCGGATGTAACCAAATGCCAATTTTTATGCTTGTTAAATTTTCAGTATTTGTTAAGGGAATTTTTTTGTCTTACTTGTTCTCCTTGATTTGATCGCATTTAATGTAAACATAAGAATAAACGAGCTTCATGATGAGACCATAGAAGCGAAACCGGTGGAAGAGGGCGAACAGAAGCGGAGGGTCGCGCTCGAGAGAACACGCGTTCGAAACTGGATTATAAAGTTCCGTTGTGTTATCACTGCTTAAGGGATTAACGCCTTCTTGCATATACGCGTTGGGAATTCTAAATCAGTCGTGCGAATCTCGATTCAAACTCGACCGAAGTGGTTGACTAATTAGCTATCTGAAATTCTTTTTCTCGCGCATACGTTTATTAGCCGCCATTAAATACTTTTTCACTGTCTCTCAAATTTCACCGTCTCTCGAAACTTTGCGTACCTGTTTGTTATATATTTTGTTTTCTCAATTTTTTGATTATAGAGCACTACTGCCGAAACACCGCGCGTACGAACAACAACATTAAGTGACAGCGAAATTCTATTGTCTGCCATGGCTTGCACTTTGTTTTCCGTTGTGATCGTTCTAATTCCCACACTGCTATATTAGTGAGTATCTTTCCTTTGCGTCAAAAATATACAACGCACTGCATAATACTGTTGTACCATAACTGTTTTATTAAATCGTATTTTCGCGGAATATTTTATATCTACTCTCAACTTTTAATTATAAATATTCAGCTCTTAATATTTTTTTGTTCTTACAGCAAGTACTGTTCCAAGGAAGTTGAATCATAGTCGATCGACCTATATAAGCAGTTGGAATATCATCGATAACGTTATCGTCCGGGAATCACATTTTTTCACGAGTCATGAGAACAGGATTGCTAAATAAATATGATCATTTCTTGCGCGCGTGTCATATCAAGAATAAAAAAACACACGGCCAAATGTTTCCAAAACTACCGTACGTTTTCAAACCAATCCGCATATTTATTCGATAAATCTGCGTAAATTAACGGCAGTCGGCGGGGGTTACTGTGGATTCGATTAATTAATCCGTCAATCCGTCAGTCCGATTTTATAACGTCAGATTGCTAGCGAAATCAACCAGTCCGCCGTGTGTTGTGTTAATCCTGTTTTCATCAAAGAAAATATAATGTAGAAAATGTATATCGTAATGTTTTGTATTGGTAAACGCAATTAGCGTGACGTGTTCATTGTATTATTTTCTGTATATTTATAATGTGTGCGCAATATGCGTTTCTTATCAAATAGCCGCGGGTATATCGGATATTTAATTTATATCTCTAACATGTGTTTAATATATGTAAGTAAGTAATTCTCTTTATATTTAAAAACAAATCTTGTTGTTATAATTACTAATTAGGTAAACATCTAATTATTTCACTTGTTATATGCACAATGTCGCTTATCTAACATAAACTTTGTACAAGTTTTTATGTTCCTTCAAGCTGTATATTATTTCTATTATCTCCTCTCTATCTAGCGAGTATGAGCGGTCAACTAAAGTGCGATTGAACAGATTTAATATCAATTACATTCAATTTTCGTGAACTATTTCACCACCGGTTGTGAGTTAGAAATTAAGAGAGAAATAGAGAGAGAGAAAGCTATTGACATTAATCTCGCTTTCGACTCCAATCCACTTCAATCAGTTATACGTTTTAGATCATTAGCCAAACTATAAGTTTCCTAAGTTAGCAGCTGCTGCCACCTTACACTTCTTTGATATATTACAACATTACAAATATTGTGTTACCACTGTGATAATTGAATCATTGTTTCTTGTTTTTTATTTAAATATAAAAATTAGTTTTAAAAGTGGCGTAACAAAATTTACAAGCTTAATTTTGTTCAAAATCAACAAGATCAAATATTTGTACTGCAGACGTCGCGTTGCTTTACATTTTGATACAGCACTGAAAACTTATTAGAGCAGATAATATCACAATCGATTATCTCTGATTTGATAACATCTCTTTTATTTGCTTATCTATTAATCAAAATTGATAGCTCAGAAATCACGGTTTATAGAAGATAATCAAGAAATATCTTATATCAAGAACGTACAAAATTATTTATGTATTTAAAAAACTTAATTTATGTATTTAAAAAACTTAGATCATATTATGAATATGTATAAACTTGTTAGAAAAAAAAGCTTTTTATTAAACAATTGAATTTAACATTTATATTATATCGTTACCACAAAGTTGTAATAAATATGAAACTTTATTTCAAGTTTTTATTTTAAAGAAGATGCTAAAACGAAACATTGTGCAGACAGACAGCGATAATAAAAAGAGATTATTAGCTGACCTGAAAAAAAGATTTGGCGCGGCTCGAGTGTAACGAAATGTCACTCGTAAATTCGTGTCACAACGTGGACGTGAGACAGTATAAAAGCGTATATAAAGCTTTTCCCTTGGCAGATGGCAATATAAAGTTTAATACGGTCTCAAACTTTCACACGGGTTATGATCAGAAATGCTACATAGCTGCACCGAGAAAGCAACCAAGCGAGCGAACGCGTCATTCTCGGTGCATTGCAAATTTGAAACGTTTCTTTAAAGGATGAAGCCGGAGATTTTCCGCGAAAGAAGCTTCGCACGGGAATACCGAGACGCATTCTTCGCTCGAGTCCATTATGCTCGTGATGTAACTCCATCTCGACTACGCGTTGCCGCGGAAATGAAATCACAAGGGAATAATGCTGTCGCAACAACGCGACGCTAATTAACAAAATTCGTATAAGCCAAAGTTGCACGGAGTCGGAAATATATCCTTTGTCGCGCCCAAAAGACAGCGATGCGTCGGCGTCGCGTTAAGATTTGCGCATTAGCGCGAAGTGCTGAGCGGCTAACCACTGCCGAGTTGTGCGAACTCGTGAAAGATGTTTTCGGAAAACTTTTGTCAACAAGATACTTTGTCAAGAGTCGTGAATTGTGAATTAGCCGAGACTATTAGAGAGATACTCACAACTTACAAGGAATTAATTATAAGACAAGAGAAGAATTCATTATATTTGCATTCGTGCTCTCTCCAGTTTCGTTCATCTGATGGTAAAAACCAACAATAGGAAAGTTATCGGCAGATTTAACATTATCAGTTCTTTTTTTTTTTTTTTTGATAATAAAAAAGTGTGTCAAAAGTGTGTATCTGTGTGTGTTTCTATGTGTATATGTATATATATAAGTACAATATACATATATATCTTTATAATAAAGTATGACGGAATCTGATATATTGGCTGGTGATACAATTAGCTGATGATAAAATTAGCTTTTAAGTTTGTTGCAAAAATACATACATATATAAATAAATATACATATATACATATGTAAATTTTTATATACATAAAAAATATAAAACAGAAATAAATAAATTTACTCTTTCAAACCCCTAACAAAAAATATACTAAATATATAAAAAAATAAATATACATATTTATTTATATAAATATATAAATATATATATGTACATTTATTTTATATACTTTTTTTATATATTTATTTTATATATTTAGTATATTTTTTGTTAGATTTAGAAGTAAATTTATTTATTTCTGTTTTATAGTTTTTATGTATATAAAAATTTATGTAACTTATATAAATTATGCGCTATATTCGATTTTTATTTGTTTGAGAATTGAATTGCTACTTTATATATTTTTGTTATAGTAGAACATGTAAATAAACATGTGTGTGTGTGTCTCTCAGTGCGACATATACAGGCAACGAACAAAGTTAATCTGCAGCCGCTCTGCAGTGCGTACACACGTATATACACTCAAACCACATGTCTCTAAACACAACTAGAAGATGACTTAAAAACGTCTTGTCGTCTTTTAAACATCTTTAAAGTGACTCTTTTGGCCTTTCTTTGCCCTTGTCTCTGGAATAATTATTGCACGAAAATAGAATTTCGCAAGCAAACTCTGAAGTTGCCATACACTTGAAATACACACTGTGCAACAGGCAGCAGATACAGTGTATCTCTTCATGGATGTGAGCGTTCCTTCTAACAGTAAAAATAAATCTAACATACACGTATTGATAATTTTTTAAATATAAAATTTCTGTATAAATATAAATACACATATATTACGTAGATATATAAATTATATTTTGCGTTATCCGTCAGAATATAATAATAATAGTCAGTGTGCAAAAATATAAGAACAATACAAGATGTTGCTTGTGCGTGAGTCAGCATATGTTCTTGCATAATTTTCATTGAGACGCAACTTTCGTCGAATTTTATTGGTAGAATTCGATCGGCACTCGCTTGTTCAAAATAAAAATAAATAAAATAATTTTCATAAACATTATACTTGCGATAGAGAAGAGTATTTTTATCAAGATTATGTGGATAGATTATGTAGATAAAAATAGTGTCCCAGAATGGAGACTTGAAACTCCGACAGTGATAGATGCAAGAGACGATATTTCAAAATAAATCGGATCTCAAATCGCACTTGCGTTTCTATTTTCTAAATACGATAATTCAAAACAATGCAGACATGTTTGATAGTCAGCTTTTCCAAAAGTACATTGGTCTCGAGAGTCGTAGACAAATTGAAAGAAACAGAAAAAAAGAGCTCGTAAAAGAGCTTTCGTTTTCAATTATGTACAACTATTGATTCAACATTATTACAATGCATTTTCTTCAACGTATTATTTTAAGAGAGAGAAATTGCAAAAATAATAACGTGTACGTGTATCACAATTGCGTCTTATAAACATGTATATCTCCAGAGTACTAGAGAGTAGTCACGATAACATTATGCAAATATTTCTTTGATATTGAAGTTTTACTTCTCTACCAGATGTTTGTGTCTGAGAAATGCTATATATATATTATTTGTGTAGGGAAGCAACAAATATTACATAGACATACTGAAAATTTCTCTTTCGCACGAACTCACATTTATATTGCATGTCTATTGGCGTTTTTCCGCGAAAGAAATCACACTACTGCACCCCTTTTGAATTCAACTGCTCAAATAATAAGATGTTAGCGAAAGCAACTCCGGAAAATGCGATTGCTTTTGTAAAATTAAGCGTGTTCATATCACTTCTTTGGCCGCTGTCGGCCACGGCAACACGATGGCAAGTAGTTCGCTTCAAAACGTTAATCTGGTTGAGTTACGCAAATCTGTGGTGTCTTTTCGTGCCGATAGTCGTTAGTTATCAAGATTGCATCAGCAATCCAAACATCTGCGTCAAATCGATTCCCATACTGGCTGGCAACATCCAGTGTATAACGGATATAACGATATGTCAACTTTATCATAAACAATTGCAAGTATGTAAAAAATTACAAATGGTTTAGACTTAGGCTTATTGTTTTTCTTTACAAATGGCATATTAATGTCATTATCGTAGCCGTTAATTGCTGAAATGGAAAGCCACTGTAAACGTGCTAAAGGTCACGAAAGAAAAATCTTACAACAATATGTCGACAACTATGGGACGTTTTACATTGCGGCCGTAATATTGTATTATTTGACAACGGTTTATGTTGTTTCCACCCCGTCGTCTGATAATCTTCCGGTGAACGCTAAATATCCATTCAATTTGACTTCTCCGTTGACGTTAGGAATCATTTACGCGCAACAGAGTTTCGTTGGCTTGCAGATATCGTCGGCATTGTGCACCAGCATTTTCGTTGCGCTTTTGCTTTGGTTCGCATCGGCTAAATTCGACATGTTGTGCACCGAAATACGAACAACAACAAATGTCAACGACTTAATACGATGCATTCAGAAGCATCAGAAAGTACTAAAGTACGCGATCGATGTTATCGATTTAATATCGAATTAACAGAAATGTGATATAATTACACGTAATTTTAAAGAAGTACTGTCGAAGTTTCTCTATTGTTACTTTGTCGAGACCGAGTCTTCTCTGTATTGTTACTTTCTTTTGCTTTCCGCACTTTTCAGTTAACAATTCACCGCGTATCGCGCAAAATTATTCTACACACGCGCGAATACGTACGATAGTGAAATGTTAACATAAACAAAAAGTAACCAAGTAAAACTTTAGTAACAATACGGAATAAGAGTACAAAGATTGTAGAAGAAAAAATTTGTTTTATTGAACATTTGTGAAGCACGTTTTACTTATTTTATTGATAAAAATTACTCTAAGATTTTTTATGACGAGACAAAATAAAAAATATAATTTCCAGATACGCCAATGATGTAATTCAAAATGTTCGTTTACTGATTTTGGTAATAGTGGAAAGTAATACATTTGCGTTAATATTCTCCGGACTCGCTCTTGTCAGTGTAAGAATAATTTGTTCTTATGTCAATTTGAAACACATCCATTTTGTACTAAAACATGAGCGCGTATGTACACAGAATTATATGATTACGCAATAAGTTATATTAAATATACGTATTTTTATGTTGACAGCGACTACCAGTAGCAGTCAAATTGCAATTTTTCGAGATGACGTTTATATCTCTTTCCCAAGTGCTTTTGTGTTGTTGGCCTGCCAATAATCTGTTAATTACAGTACGATATTTACATATCTCACGTATCGTATGTTATATAGTATTATATCGTATATTATATATAGTGTTTATTGTAATATTTACAATAAACAATTCATCTATGTTTAGAGAAATTAGATGTATCTTTTCAGCTTCATTCTATTCTAAACTTTTTGAATGTACAGTAGAATCTCTCAAAACGTATACAAATCCACTTTCAAAAAACGTATATTTTTCCCCCTTTATTGTTTATTCCACCCCTAAGTATGGTCAAAACCAAAACTGCGCTAGCGCTTGCGCATTTATATCAAGTAAGTCTTTACGTATACGTGAATTAAAAAGTGAGGAAAGAGAAAGTATATATGTTTTTTGGGAAGTTTGTCGGTCCCGCCTGTGTATACGTTTTAGGAGGTTCTACTGTATTTCATTAGTAGCGTTAAGTAATATTATATGCTTTTATAACAGAGTTCGAACGTTGGCACCGCAGTTTATGAATCACAATGGTATTCTCAAAACGTATACGTGCAGAAAATTTTGCTTCCCATTATACTACGATGCCAAAAACCGGTTACCATTACAATCGCTTGTGTCATACCGATTTTGTCACTACAATATTTTAGTTCGGTAAGAAACAAGATCCTCTCTTTTCATCTTTTTTTAATTAAATAATTTTCATGCGATACGTGTGTGTCTGCACGCACGTATAAGAGTGCGTATTGTATAAAATATAAAAACACCACGAGAAACAAAAATAAAATTACAAAAAATATTTTTATCTGTTCATGTGTTGTTATGTTTTAGTTTATTTCAACGGGGTTTTCTTACTTCACGGCCATACGAGTAATGATCGAAAAAGATAACGTACAATGAAAACAATTATAACAATTATACTATGACATGAAAATATTACAATACATTCTTACTATCAACTTGCAAAAACTATACTGATACATACTAAACCCGCTATGCTAATAATTTACACATGTGCATACACATCATATCTATCTTGCAATATAATATGCAATATTATAAGAAAAAAATATACACAAATTGTTTTCTACAGTTTGTACTTAATAAAAATTTAAATAAAAAAGAAAATTTCTTTTGTTGTGTTTTACAAAATGAACAAGTTTACTCTTTTTTGTCGCAGTGTTTATTTGTCGTTATACGAATAAGTTATTCCTTTGAGTCGTCGAAGCAGTATTCTGTTAGCGTGCAACAATTTTCGGATACTAAAATTGTTTTTAAATTCTTCTAAAACCTTACGAAAGAGCGATTGTTCAGCGAGAATACGTCGATAAGTGTGCTCAATTCTATGGTTTTTGTATAGGAATTTTTTACATGAGTCTGTTTGGCATGTTCTTGGAACCCATCATGCTGGACCAGTCGCTTCCAGCACCTGCTGAATTTCCATTTGATGCGTCCCGCCAACCGCTGAGAGCTATTACGTATACGCACCAAATCATAATGGGTCTGTTCATAGCCTCGCAGTTGTCCGCGAACGCTTTTATGGCGCTGTTACTTTGGTTAACGTCAGCGAGATTTAAATTGTTGATCGAGGATTTACGGTCCGTTACAAAGTTCCGTGATTTTGTAAAATGCGTCAAAACGCATCAGCAATTACTTGAGTAAGAGTACTGCTTTGTCTTCGGTTCTGAAACAAATTAAAAATATTTTAAACGTCAACGTATAATATTTGTTTATATATTTGTTTATACTTTAATTGTAAATAGTGTCTTAGAACAAATAAAGTGTGTCGTAAGATACAGACAAAATTTAAAAATTATAGGTACGCAGGAGAAGTAGCTCATACAGTTCGCATCTTTGCATTAGGAACGATATTCTTCAGTACAATATCGTTACTAGTACTTGGCCTTATTTTTATTATAGTAAGTATATATCTTATTAGAGTAAGTATATATTTTTGTATTTAGAAAGGCGCTTCATTTTTTTTCCAATGGTCCCTTGCAACATTGCTGTTGCGTGACGAAGTTTAACAGCATATGCTGGATAATACGAGATTGCCGCGTACACGCATTGCGGATATAGTTTTTGTTCTTATACACATGTGCTTATATATATACTTGTATTACACGTACATATTACACATACTTGTATTGTTTTCTTAAATAGAGAGTATCGCCCGCTTTGAAGATTGAATGTGTCTTTTTAGCAGTCGGCGCATTGTTGGAAGTGTTCATGTATGCGTGGCCAGCGGAACACTTGATTCACATAGTAAGTTATTAGTGAAGGATAACGTTAATAAATGTATGTTTACTCAGAGTTTTTTTTATCCTGGATAATGTTTTCTAGAGCAATGATGTTGCACAGGCAGCGTTTGAAACTGATTGGCATAACAATTCTTCGGAAGCTCTTCGAAAAAGTTTACAGATGATTATACTACGGAGCCAGAAACCGATATTTGTTGTATTGCCATGCGGTCTGCCATCGTTGTCTTTATCTTATTACGCATCGGTAATTTAACGATTTGACCTCTTGCGTGTTCGTGTCATTGCTCTAACCTTTATGTTACAATAAATATATCATATATTGAAAAAGTACATATGATTTCAGTATCTGTCAACTCTATTTTCTTACTTTACCACAATGCGAATAATGTTTGAAGAGCAAAATAACGGAGCATAAATAAAAAAACAGTATATTTTGGATAGTTTTAAATGAAGAAATATATAATTTAAAGAAGGTACAACTGTGGATTAGTTACATATGTATGGTTTTTAGTAATACTCATTAAAAGTATTTTAAAAGACGTATCTTACGTAGGTGTTGAGTGTATTTACTAATATTACATAACAAAAATACGTGTTTGTATGTTTTCTTTTTCAACAATAATATAAAATGGTACAAAAATAATAGAAAACATTTTTAAGATATCTCAACACACCATATATTATTTTTATACAAAAGAGTTCTAGCGTAAACTATCAAAACACGTATGTAATTTTGCGAGTTACTGTACAAATTACATAGGAGTAAGCAAAGCTAACATCGAATTCAAATACCGTGCGTAATACATTGGTGAAGGTTTCTTCTCAACTATTTGAAAATAAGAAACTAAACTTGCACGCGTTTGAGAAACTTCAGTACGTGATAAATAATAAAGCAGCAATTTTGTTGCATAGTATGTGCCAACACTTCTTCAATCTAATTCTACAACTTATCAATCACACATTTCTGTACAGTCTTGGATTGAGTATATTATATAGCAAGATAAAAGAAAGTCTGAAAGCTTCCGCGCATATTGTTTCAACAAAAACAGTACATGTCGAGCGTGTAGAGTAACCAAACCCTTACATTACGATCATTATACCATATCCCTATTTTAACATTTTTTTTTCTTTTTTCAAGACTTCTGTAGACACTCTTCTTGTAGGAAATTGTAAATCTCCCGTTTTACCTCAACCGCTCATTTTATTCCGTAAATTTTCTTGCGATAATCTATTCGATAGAGAACAAGAATTTTGCTTGCGCTGAAATTTTCTCTCAGTGTATAAACACAAACGTACGCGTGTTCTAAATCATGTGGAAAAAAGTATCGTTCAAGAAGGTTATCTCTGTCGTGAAATTAAGTTTGTTCATTACTTGGTGCTGGCCACTTCCAAGGGACGCGATTAAATTGAAAGTCATCGGTGCCGCATTGTATCAATATTTCTGTATAATTGTAGTCTCTAGCGTAGCTCTTGGGCTAATGAACACGGTCAGAAACCATCTCGACGATCCTCTTATCATGGCAAAATCAATTAGCGTTCTGTTTCCCGCTCTACAAGCTGTTTTCAACATCATGTGCTTCAGAGTTTATTCTACACGCATACAAGTAAATTATACGTTTAATGTTATTTTTTTAAACAAACGAAACGTATATACACTTAAAAAAAAACAATTTTGCTATTATATGGTCAGCAAGAAAAATTTGCTGAGACTGAATGGTTTGTTTCGTCAACAAAATATTTTGTTGACCAAACAAAACATTCAATAGACTTAGCAAATTGTTCTTGCTGATCACAGTAGTAATTAATCTTGCTATTCTAGCAAACCTGTTTTTTCCACGTAAATGCATATATATATGTATATCGTCGCTCACATGCACACTTACGCACACAGAATAAGTATATAACCGATTCCAGTACATCACATTCGAAATGATAGCTTTCTGCGAATTGCTTAAACCGTATGAAGAAGCAATCGTGCAACAGTACATTGACAAATGCATGTACTTCTACGGCGGATCTATATGCTGGATATATCTGAGCTGCTTTTTTGTCATGACTGGACCGCTTACGCTCGATCAGCCGTTCCCAACGAACGCGGAGTATCCGTTCGACGTTTATTATCAACCGCTAAAAACTATTGTCTTTCTGCAACAGAATATGGCTTGTTTACAGGGAGCTGCACAGTTGTGCATGAATATCTTCATGGGGCTTTTAATGTGGTTCACATCGGCAAGATTTGAATTATTGGTCGTGAAGTTGCGAATAGTCACGGATATCTACGCTTTGAGAAAATGCATCCAGGAACATCAGAGTCTACTCAAGTAAGATATACTTGCTGTTATACTTGCTCTTCGTCAATAAAATTTATTTAGACCGATACAATTTTTTTACATTAACTCTTTTTTTTTCATTACAGAAACATAGTGCTTAGTTTTTATTTTGACGTAAGAGAAACAAAATATTAAAATTTATCAAAATGTATATTTCTCTCAGATATACAGAAGAGGTGATCGCTATAGTTCGATTGATTGCTGTAACAACCGTATGGTTCACCACAATTGTGTTAATAATAGTAGGCCTTATTTTAATTACTGTAAGTAATTGACAATGACTGCTTTTTTTTATCCAGTAATATGTTTGTTGCTTTGATTTTTTTAGAAATAGCTCTTTTTTATATTTGAAATTAAATTATATATCGTTTTTCTTTTTTTTATATATAGGATCAGCCGTTATTAATGAAAATTCAATGCGTTGGTATAGTTTTTAGTGGGTTATCAATAGTGTTCATGTTCACCTGGCCAGCAGAACACTTAATTCATATAGTAATCTCCACTTCTGTGTCGCAAAACTCGGTTTTGTTCTGCGAGTATTTAAAGTTCTTAATACTATTTTTTTTTTAGAGCAATGAAGTGGGACAGGCAGTGTTTGACGCACGATGGTACTATCAACAATCCATAATTCTACGAAAAGACATGCTAATACTTATGATGAGAGCTCAACAGCCAGTAACTGTTTCGATACCATGTGTCATGCCATCGTTATCTTTAAGTTATTATGCAACGGTGAGAAATCGAGTTTTTTTTTTATATATAAAGCTTTCTTCGCATAACGTCAAAATGTATCTTCCTTCTAAGTATGTCTCAATTCCCATCAGTACAAAGAAAGAATACACCATGTAAGAGTAGAGAATTTTCTCATATTACGCTTTGATTCGAAACTTGACGTTATGCAAAAATAGTGCATTATAACAATAATTATATAATCATAAACAAGAATAATGAAGAATTAATTAATGAAGTATTAACATTTGAAATTAAGTAAATGTATTTATATTACGTACTTATTATTAATATTTGATATTAATTACTCATTACTTGATTAGGTATATTCATTCAAATGTAATCAAATAGTGTAATCAAAAGTGAATAACACAATTTATATTATTAAATTGCAATTAAGAACTGACTGTTGCATACTTTCTTTGTGACTTACATAAATTTTTTATCTGTTGCAGTTTTTATCAACTATATTCTCGTATTTTACAACGTTAAGAATAGTCATGCAACAAGACTAAGATGTAGATTTAGCAAACTTGTCATCGATAGTTTTGAAAAATATGCAAATAATTACATTAAAATGTTAAAAAAAAAAACGATAAAGAAATAAAATAGCAAAAACCAATCTGGTGAACTTTTACAATTTTTGCAGAAACAATTGCACAAGTAATTCTTAAAATATCTATAAATAATGTACACAATGCGGTAGAACAGGTTTTGATTTTTTGAAAAAATTAATTGTAAAAATTGAAAAGTTGATCACATTTACCTTTTTGTTACGCTTAATCGACAGCGGGCGCGAATATTTACATATTGCAGCATTATGTTTCCTCATATTATAAAACTTACATATTACAAAGATACTGGATATAATCCTTCGAAGATATTAAACGAGAAATAATCTTGCGAATCACAAATATCAACCAGCAAAGTTTCATGTTACAGAGAAAAGAATCGGTTTACGAGAGATTACGGATTGACATTCAACTGTGATAGATATTTGTTTTGTCATAATTTACTTCTCGCTTCGTAACGGTAATGCACGCGATAACTTCTTCCATGTCTACCATCCCTCTGTGTTTTAGCTATAAAATATAGATGAACGCAACACCGGTAAGAGCGAACTTTGATATTTCAACACGCAAATGTTTTCCTTAGACATTATTCGCGATTGTTTCTTTTTTTCCCATAAATTCTTCGTAAAGAAATATTAAAAAGAAATGTTAAAAAGATAGAAAAATGTGAATAGCAGTAATGATAGATGGAAAAATTTTTTTCCTTATCGTCGCTTTGTCGATATTGCGTGTTATGTGTCTATAGAACGCACTTATAGAGTCTTCTATAAAGTACTACCTTATTTTGTCTTTATCTTTGTCTTCTGAATTATTTTACTTTAACGCCTTACGTGCCAATAACATATAAATATATATATATATATATATACATATGTATACTATTAAGCACAAATGTCGAATTGTCGCGCAGTTTTGCGCATGTGGTGGGGAGAACGTCTCATAATGAGATAAATGTCGATCGCGCAAAGTAGTGAGAAAGCACTATATTCAAGCTATAAAAGAGAAAAATGATTATGGGCGAGATATTGACAATAGAAAAGATTATTTCCTTTTTAAAAGCAGATCTACGAGTTGCGTTTTGTTGGCCTCTTTCGGCAAACGCCACAAAATGGCAAAAAATTGTTAACAACATATTTCGAGTCTTCTGTTGTGCAAATGGCTTATTGCTATCGATAGCGTTAATGTATACGTTAGGCAGTGAACGTGATATGATTCTTATTATGAAAATTGGTTGCGAGCTAAGCGCGTTTTTACAAATTCCAGTACAGATTATGTTATTCACATTGCAGAATGATCATTTTCAAGTAAGATATGTAATTTGTTTATCTTCGGTTTGTTACGCAACGTTACCATTTGTATTGTCACATTCAGATAGCACACGTCTAAAAGATGACTAAAAAAACCCGACTTAAAAACGTCTTGTTGTCTTTTCAGACAATAAAACGTTTTTAACATGTCTCTTGGCCTTTTTGTACGGTCTGAGCAAAAAGTAATATATTGGGTTGATCAGAAAGTCTTTTCGTATTTTAATACGAAAAACTTGAAAAGATCTTCTGACCAACCTAATAAATTTTAAAACTTTTTAACAAAGCCACACGCTTTTAGGACATAACGTGCAAAATGGAAAACTACATACAACAAGCAAAAACAGAAGAAAAAAATACAATTCAGTATTATGTCGACAAATGCAAATTATTTTACGGAATTACAATGTGCTGGGTTAATCTAACCGCAATTGCTATAATCTTAGGACCAGTACTTCTATCTCAGCCCTTTCCCATCGTAGTGCGTTATCCATTTCATGTGAACTATCAGCCGCTAAATACTATTATCTATCTGCATCATACGATGGCCGTTTATCAGAGCAATGTGCATGTTTGTGCTAATGTTTTCTTAGCTCTTTTGCTTTGGTTCGTGGCGGCTAGGTTTGAAATTTTGTCGCACAAGTTCCAGCAAGTTACTAACTTCTCGGAGTTCATGATCTGTATAAAGTTGCATCAACAACTGTTACGGTAAAATGTTTTTATTCTGAAAAAAATACTGTTGATGATAATAATTAATCAATTTGTGTCATAATTCTAAATACGCGACCACCTTCATAAATTGAGAGATGCTCAACAGTCGGTCCGTATCACTTGCGCTAACAACCACGATTGTTTTTTACATACCTGCTCACAAAACGTTCGCGGATTGTTTCACGTTTGATGATACGCGACAGTCGTTGTATTGTGCGCGAATTATTCCTCACTCGATGATAAGCGACAGTCATCAAGCGCAGAATAATCCGCTTGCGAAAGCAAATGGGTTAACAAATAACGTCTAAATATCTGTAACAAAACTTTGCTACAGGTGTCTAAAATAATATCGTTGTTTTGTTTTTTATCTTATAAAGTCATGTTTTTAGTTGTAGTCCTAAAACTATAACATTAAAAAACACTAGAAGATATTAATAATTGATTGTACAGATATGCGAAAGATGTTACTAGGGCTGTTAGATACATAGCATTATCATCGATAGGATTCAGCACCTCAGCAGTGGTATTTAGTGGTCTTATCTTTTTAAGCGTAAGCTATACTTTATAAACGTGTAGTTGGATTTTTTTATATTGGTGTTAATAACTTATTAGTAAGTTTGCAATATATTTTTATTACATCAGAAATCACCGTTAACCATAAAGGCTCAATTTTTTACTGTGGCTGCATCTTCGCTTGTAGAAGTCTTCATCTGCGCATGGCCAGCTGATTATTTGTTGAGAATGGTGAGAACTGATAATTATACATAAAGATAAGTAATTGTAATTTGCTACCTACGTTGATGCTTTAATATTTCCAACATCTATATCAGAGTTATGATATTAGTCAGGCTGTGTACCATTCCATATGGTACAATAAAGGATTAGCTCTGCAAAAGGATTCGTTGTATATTGTGTTGCGAAGTCAACAGCCTGTAACTGTTACCGTTCCATGTATGCTGCCCACTCTCTCGCTTAGTTACTACGCCTCAGTAAGTTGTGATATGTGCGAGTTGCTTCGCCGCTTATGCGGGATTAAGTTGCGTAATTTATCATTCAAACTGTAAATATACGTATAGAGCTTAAACATGTTTAACAATTTTATTACAATTTTTATATTGTATATTCTGTATTTTATATCATATTTTTTTATCACTTTTGACTGTTGTTTATGTACAAATATGCACAGTTAATAATTAAATTTGGAGTTACGTATCAAGTATCTGTTTGTATTATCTGTTACAAGTATCTGTATGGATCTAATAATTATTTCAAATTGTTCTTAAACATTAATGATAATATACGATGAAAACTGTGTATTTCCTTTTGGCAGTATTTGTCAACGGCATTTTCTTACTTGACGACCTTCCGAGCAGTATTTGTAGAAAATGACTAAATGTGATTGACTGGAAAGAAGATCGACCGTACGTACGTATACATTTTTCTAAAAAAAACTTCTAAAATAACATGACCATGTAATATCTTTAGTCAAAGTGTATAAAAAAAATGTAACAGTAAGAAGTAACAATAAAGTAAATATTTAAACTATAAATTTTCTCGTATCAATAACAAAACAAAAAATATTAATGCATATTTTAAGTCGTATGCAAGTTACAAATAAATTTTGTATTGAAGAACATCAATTTTTATCACACAGCCGTTAATATATGTTAAGTCTTAAATATAAGAAATGGAAAATCGACATAAGGTACAATATCAAAGGCAACAAATAAATCGAGCTTGGTTTGTGTGACAAATTATGTGTTACTCGCGTTTATGCACACAGAAATATATATTAAAGAAGAAATATATGATTATGCAATAAGTTACATTAAGTATACGTATTTATGTTGACTGCGACTATCAATAGCAGTCAAACTGCGATTTTTCCAGATGACGTTTACATGTCTTTCCCAAGTAATTATGCGTTGCTGGCCTGCTAGTAATCTATTAGTTACAGTACGATATTTGCATATCTTACGTATCGTATATTGTTTATTGTAACATTTACAATAAATAATGCAATTATTTTCGAAGAAATTACAAGTATTTTTTTAGCTTTATTCTAAACTTTTTCAATGTATTTTATACGTTCACAATATTATTATAGCGTACAGTAATATTATATGCTTTTATAACAATGTTTGAACGTTGGCAACGCAATTTATAAATCACTATGGTATTCTCAAAACGTATACGTATTGCAGAAAATTCTATCACCTTGCAAGAAATATACTGATACACAATGAACCTATGCTAATAATTTTTTGATATACATATACACATATACATACACATCATATCTATCTTGCAATAAAATATGCAATATTACAAAAAACATATACACAAATTGTTTACTACAGTTTGTACTAAATAAAAATTTAAATACAAAAAAAAATTTCTTATGTTGTATTTTACAAAATGAATAAGTTCACCTTTTTTGTAACAGTGTTTATTCGTCGTTATACAAATAAGTTATTCCTTTGAGTCGTCGAAGCAGTATTCTGTTAGCGTGCAATATTTTCCGGATACTACGCCGAATTTTTCTCTTGCCTTCGTAGAAAAACATTTCTTTATATTGATCATTGCAAAAACGCCATAAAACTCAACAGTTTTATAACTGACATCGCACTTACAGTATTTTGTTAAAATATCCTAGTATTTTTCTTGAAGTTCTTCCGGTAGGTATTACAAAATGCTTTACAATCTGCACGATTTCTGCAAGATACAGCGTGTTTTCAGAGAAATATTTCAATAAAAAAAATGATTACATAATATTATCGCCGTTTCAAGTTCTACCGTTGTGGATGAATTATTTATCTGCTTCTTCTCACCCTAATCGTAGTCCACATACAATACTCACTAGATATATATATATATATATATATATACTATATTTTCACAAACTACCCGAACTTCTACACGTCAATTTTTTTCGCTTCAGTATATGCGCACATATTTTTCCTCTTTGCATTGAAATAAGCGCAACACGTATCGATCGATCCTTCGTCTCTTCAAGGTTTTGTTTCCTGCATATTTTATAATAACAGTATTAAGGTAGCGTGTGTTGAGTGAAAGCATTTACCTAAATGACACGTGGTGCTTTCATTTTGTATATCCAACTACATAATTTGATTACAAAAGTTCCTAAATTGCTCGTCGGCACGAAATATGATTCTCGATAAGCAAAATAGTACTTGGTGATGTACTTGCACATAGTTTAACTCAATCATGGAAGAAAGAGTAACGTTGAAGAAAGTAATCACTGTTGTAAAGTTGAGTTTGTTCGTTACGTGGTTTTGGCCGCTACCACAAAGTGCGAGTAAGCGTAAACTCTTGTGCATGCAGTTGTACCAATGCGTCAGCTTATTGTTGACTGCGGCCGTAATTGCGTCGATGGTATACGCTGTTGTTCAAAATCTAGATGATCTCGACCTTGTTATAAAATCGGCATTGGGTGTGTTTCCTTGTAGTCACGTTATTTGGAACATTCTGTGCCACTTAGCTATTTATCAGCGTATACAAGTAAGAATTATTTGCGTATTATTTTGAGAACATAATTAACGTTTTTAATAAACATAGTTATTGCATATTTTTAATTGACGTGTAACGTTAGCGGATCTTATTTGCAGCGCGTTACCTACAAAATGGAGAATTTTCGCGCTTTTTTAAAACCTTGCGAAAGAGCGATTGTTCAGCGAGAATACGTCAATAAGTATGCACAGTTTTATGGTTTTTGTATAGGAATGTTTTACATGAGTCTGTTTGGCATGTTTGTGGGACCCGTCGTGCTAGACCAACCGCTTCCAGCACCTGCTGAATTTCCATTTGATGCGTCCCGCCAACCGCTGAGAGTTATTACGTATACGCACCAAATTATAGTGGGTCTGTTCATAGCCTCGCAGTTGTCTGTGAACGCCTTTATGGCGTTGTTACTCTGGTTGGCATCAGCAAGATTTAAATTGTTGATCGAGGATTTACGATCCGTCACAAAGTTCCGTGATTTTGTAAAGTGCGTCGAAAAGCATCAGCAATTACTTGAGTAAGAGTACTGCTTTGTCTTCGGTTCTGAAACAAATTAAAAATATTTCAAACGTTAACGTATAATATTTATTTAATTGCAAATAGTGTCTTACATTAAAGTGTTATAACATAAGATACAAACAAACTTTAAAATTTCTAGGTACGCGGGAGAAGTAGCTCTTACAGTTCGTATCTTTGCGTTAGGAACAATATTCTTCAGTACAGTAACATTACTCGTATTTGGTCTTATTTTTGTTACAGTAAGTATATATTTTTGCAAGAAACGTGCTTCGTTTTTTTTTTCTATTGTCTTTTTTAACACTGCTGTTGCGTGACAGAAGTGAGCAGCATATGCTCAATAATACACGCATTGCAACCCGGATATTAAATTTGGTCTTACACCCGTACATTTGTCGTATACTTATATATACTTGTATTACACGTACATATTACACATATTTGTGTCGTTTTCTTAAACAGAGAGCATCGCCTGCTTTGAAGATTGAATGTGTCTTTTTAGCAATCAGTGCATTGTTGGAAGTGTTCATGTATGCATGGCCAGCGGAACACTTGATTCACATAGTAAGTTATTAGTGAAGGATAACGTTAATGAATGTGTGTTTACTCAGAGTATTTTTTATTTTAGATATTTTCTTTTTAGAGCAGTGATGTCGGACAGGCAGCGTTCGAAACTGATTGGTATAACGATTGTTCGGAAACTTTTCGAAAAACTTTACAGATGATTATACTACGAAGCCAGAAACCGATACTTGTTGTATTGCCATGCGGTCTGCCATCGTTGTCTTTACGGTATTACGCATCGGTAAGATAACGATTTGACCTCTGCGTGTGTCATTGCCAATCTTTATGTTACAATAAATATATCATATATTGAAAAAGTACATATGATTTTAGTATCTGTCAACTATATTTTCTTACTTTACCACAATGCGAATGATGTTTGAAGAGCAAAATAACGAATCATAAATAAAGAACAGTATATTTTTGAATGAAGAAAGTTGTAATTTAAAGAATGTATAATCTGTATACTAGTTACACATGTATATAGTTGTTAGTAATACGCATTAAAAGTACTTTAAAAAACAATTCATACTTACGTGTTAATGTATTTACTAATATTTTTGAACAAAATACATGGTAGCATGGTTTTTTCTTTAAAATTAATATAAAGTAATATAAAAAGAATAGACATAAACATTAAGATATTTCAACACAACATATACTGCATATGCACAAAAGAGTTTCTATTGACTATCAAAACACGCACGTAATTTTGTAAGTTGCAGTACAAGTTACATAGGTGTAAGCACTTCTCCAATCTTATTCTACAACTTATCAATCACAAGTGTCTTTGCTACAAGTGTCTAAAATAATATCGTTATTTTGAATTTTGTTTTATAAAGTCATGTTTTTAGTTGTAGTCCTAAAACTATAACATTAAAAAACACTAGAAGATATTAATAATCGATTGTACACTAGAAGATATTAATAATTGATTGTACAGATATGCGAAAGATGTTACTACGACTGTTAGATATGTAGCATTATCATCGATAGAATTCAGCACTTGGTATTCAGCAGTGGTATTTAGTGGTTTTACTTTTTTAAGCGTAAGCTATACTTTATAAGCGTGTAGTTGGTTTTTTTTTATATTGATATTAATAAAGTATTAGTAAGTTTGCAATATATTTTTATTATATCAGAAAGCACCGTTAACCATAGAGGCCCAATTTTTTATCGTGGTTGCATCTTTGCTCATAGAAGTCTTCATCTGCGCATGGCTAGCTAATTATTTATTGAGAATGATAAGTATTAATAATTATATAAAAATAAGTAATTGACATTTGCTAAATACGTTGCTTTAATATTTCCAACAATTATATCAGAGTTATGATATTAGTCAGGCTGTATACCATTCCATGCAATAAAGCTCTGCTAAAGAATTTGTTGTATTTGGTTGCATTTTTAAAAATGCAAATGGGTAACAGTAGAAATTAAATAATAAAGTAAATATTTAAACTTTTAATTTTTTTGTTTATCGATATTAGAACAAAAAATATTAATGGGTATTTTGAGTCGTACGCATGTAACAGACAACTTTTGTATTGAAGAATATAAATTTTTATCAAACAGTCGTTAATATATTAAGTCTTAAATAAAAAGAGAAAAACTAATAAAAATTTGTGTGTTCAAGGTACAATAATAGTGGCAGCAAATCTTGCTTTATGTGAAAAATTACGTTATGCGCGTCTATATTCCGTGCACTTATAGTCACTTGAATGATTTGAAAAAGTATCGTGAACAACGAAGAAAGTGTTATATCGTATACGGATTATTATTTCGCGTTTTCTGCGTATGAAATGTCATTATTTATTTAATCTAAGTGCTTTCGACACGAAGAGAAGAATATTCGCGGTGTGCATTATTTATTCGCGGAGTAACGCATTGTTTCACGGTCTCAATATTGTGTCAGAAAATAATATTCCAGAAAAGAATCTAGTGAATAACTGTACTTTTCTTTACATTTCTCACGGTTAATAACATTTTAACGTGTCTATATAAGCAATCGTATGAGACAAGTTGCCTTCGAAACACACAAGCGTGCGGTCGGGGGATGTACACGGGAGAACTTATCGCAAGTAGAGATATTATGGTACGTTCTGTGACATTAGAAAATGTTATCGCATTTTTGAGAATACATCTGGTTTTCGCCTGCTGTTGGCCGTTGCCATCCACTGCGACAAAAATAAAAATCATTTGTGACAGATTGTTTCGTTTGTTTAACGCCTTGCACTCGATATTGATAATCTGTATGATAGTGTACAAGATCGTTTCCGAGTATAAGAACGTGTTGGTGTTAGTACAACTAGGCTGCGTGTTAGTTGTTCTATGTGAAATTCCGGTGCAGATTTACTTGTTTTTGCAGCAACACGATCGGTTGCAAGTAAGAAACAATTGATTTTTGTAACTGGTTGAGAAAGATAAAATCACGGACACATGATTTTGCTTAGATGTATTAGAAAATACATGAGTTGTTTAGAAAATAAGCGATTGGATAAGTGTAATAATTAGCGAATCGTGTAACTAAAAAAAATTGCAGAATATAATTTGGAAGATGGAACATTACATCAAATATGCGAGCCCAGCGGAGAAGGACGTCTTACAACAATATATAAATAAGAATTTCATGATGTACAGTGCGACGTTAGTGATGATGAGCGTAACTTTAGCCAGTCTGATTGTGCTACCACTAATAACAGATCATCCGGTATTAGAGTTAGATTACTCATTTTCTATCGATTATCAGCCGATGAAAGGCATTATATATTTGCACCAGTCATTTGCTCTGTATCAAGCTTACGTTCAAGTATGCGCTAATATGTTTCTTGCTCTTCTGTTTTGGTTCTCGACCGCGAGATTCGAGATCTTAGCCAAAAAATTTTGCACAGCTACGAATTATTCCGATTGGAAGGCATGTCTGCAAGAACATCAAGAGATTTTGACGTGAGTTAAAAAATTAAATTATAGATTCTCAATGTGTGCGCGTAGCAATCATAATCGCGCGAAACGCGCTGGTCTTTTGCACGTGGATGCACGCTCATTCGCGAATTCTTGATTAATTAACAACAACGTTAATTATTGCAAATTTCTTAAAATGATAAAGAATTTTTCGACTCAATATAATCATTCTTATTTGCTCACGGCGATACGGTTATTATACAGACGCTACATTACAGGTTTACGAAACAAGTGACTTCTTCTCTTTCGTATTTAACGTTATCATCGTTAACTGTCAGCACCATGACTGTAGTGTTCAGCGGTCTTACCTTCCTCGGCGTATGTATAAATTCTCACTCTTTTCATTAGAACGGTTGCGCATGTCAAAATTAAAAAAATTAACGCAATATTTTTTTTATATAAAACATATTTATCTGTTTACAAGAATTTAAATGATAAAAAGTTAGTCTTTACTATAAAACTGAGTATTTTTTTAAATTTACTCACCTCAGGTTACATTTTATACCATTTTATTTACTTTATTAATTCATTTTCATGTAGCGATTTCCGATGATCGTAAAAATGCAATATACGATAGTATGTTCTTCATCTCTGGCGAAAGTCTTCTTATGCGCTTGGCCAGCCGATTATTTGATGAGAATGGTCAGTGTCGACAAGTAAAAGAAAAAATACAATTGTGTCGCAGTATACATGAAATATTCAAAGACACATTACAGAGTTCTTCTGTTGGGGATGCTGCATATAACTCGATGTGGTACAAAAATGAAATCGGTACACAGAAACTTCTGCTGTACACTATGCTTCGAACTCAACAACCTGTTCTCGTATCTGTTCCCGGTTTAGTCACGGCTTTATCCTTGCAGCATTATGCATCTGTAAGACAACGTTGCAGTGTCACGCTAGTCACATTAGTCTTAACAACATCGCATCTCATTGTAAAACATACGTCACGATTTCCACTATTTCTGAAATCACTATTACACTAACTAAGACTATCAAAAATATATAGCCAATATTTGTATCATACTTTATACGGTTATTACTTTATTACTGTTCACAATGAGAAATATATATATGTGTGTATATGTTTCTCAAATTTTTATTTATTTTTCTTTTTTTCTATTTTCTTACATCAGTAGCTCTTTTTATCAGAAAAAAATTATCAAAGAGGTTTCAATATAATGATAGGATTTAAAGTATCTTTTTCAATATATTTTTGCAGTACGTGTCAACGGCATTTTCTTATTTGACATCGTTTCGAGCAGTGCTTTCTAGTGATGATTAGTTCGAGGCGGTGATGAGTTGGCGTTCCATATAGTTTTAATACAAACGTTTGTGCAATAATAGCGAGATATTGGTCGAGGTAAAGTCTCTCTAAAATATAGAAAACAAATGTGTAACTTAGATGTATATTATTAAACAAACTATATACATTCGTATAGTTTTTATATTTACGTGTCTACAAGTGTTTGCATTTACATTTTTTTTTTCACGCGATAACTGATTTTATATATACTTGCACACATTACACAATACAACTAACGATATTTCAAATAATTTTTTCCGAAAATTGAGATATAATACAAAATATGATTCGTGTTTCAAAAATATAAAAGAACGACGGTGTGATAGTCGCGTACCAACACTCGTAATACATCTTTAACTCTATATTCGCGCGTTATTTTCCTTTGTTACACTAACTCTATCTATGATGGCAAAACTCACGTTTCTTCCTGCGGAGAATAATAGAAAGATAATTATATGCTAGTACACATCAACTTCATTCCGACGTTCGCTGGTTAAATAATTTGTAACCTTACGCGCGTACAATTTCGTATGAAGCGAACCTACTTAAAGCAGGAAGTGACGCAGAGAGACCGCGCGTATGACAATTAAATATGCATTCCCTTACTGCGATCGACGAAGCATTCTCTTTTGACGCAGTCAGTTTGTGTATACAATACGCGAACATAGATGTAATATATAACTGTTGTGTTTCGTTCTCGGAACCCTGATCGAAACCAACAGTTTACGTGGCAATTATGGAGAACACTTTGTCGATGCAGAAAATTCTCGCGTTTCTAAAAACGGACTTGGTATTCGCTTGTTGTTGGCCATTACCGCCAGTTGCTACGNCAAGCTATATTTTGTGAACTATCTGTTATAGCGAGAGAGAAAAGTAAACTATCGTATTCATAATTTATAACTCTTAAAGTTTATTTTGCAAATAAGATAATACGAAAGTATTGTTAAAGAGACAAAATATATATATATATATAATTATGATATATCCGATTGTTTTACTGTGTTTATACAGACTTTTATACAAGTTGTAACGTGACACTTTTTGTGTTCGTCACAAAGATGCACTTCCGGCCGGCACAGAAGGCGGTGAGCTCGCGTTTCCCCACTATTTGTGAGAGAGCAGCTCATTAGATTGCATAGCG